AGTGTTCCACACCCTGGATAGTTGGGACCATTTTTCCACTTATAAATAAGGTTAAGTGCAGCCCTTGGGATAACCTAGGATAACTGTCTAGGAAAACCCACACCATTTACTCTGGCTTTCCCACGTCTGCATGGCCTGGCTCCTCATCACTTCATCTCTACCTGTTGTCCCCAGTTTGCTTGCCTCCTGCTACACAGACCTCTTTTTGGTCCCTCAAACTCACTAAGCATGTTCTCACTCAGGGCCTTTACCACAGCAGTGCACCCTGCCCAGACCCTGTTCCCCAGGTCTCCATGTAGCATCTCCATGCAGCACCTTTTGACATCCAGCATCATCACCTATGATATCACCTGAGAGACCCTCCCTTACAACCCTATCTAAAGCAGACCCTTCTGAGCACACTTCACACTTCAGTCTTTCCCCTATTTTAATTCTTTGTAGAGTTGCTTTGTTTATTTATATATTTATTGGTCATCTTTCCACTCAGTCAGCTCAGGCTCCATGAGCACAGAGATGGGTCTCTTTCATTTACTTCTGTATCCTCAGCAGTGAGGATATAGGCTGACACATAGTAGGCTCCAGAAATGTTAAATGATGGGGAAGTCCCCCAGCCATGAGGTCACTGGCTGGCACTTAGTAGGTACTCAAGTAATGTCAAATGAAGAGAAGGCCCATAGCAACTAGGGTACTGGCTGGCAGCTTCCTGAAATACTGTTAAATGAAGGGAAGGTCCCACAGCAGTGAGGCCACTGGCTGGTGCAAAGAAGGTGCTAAATAAATATGTGCAAACTAAGAAAGGACCCAAAGGTTAGTCACTGATGGAACTGGACAGAGAACTCTAGTTTGTCTAATTCTAAAACTGGAGCCCAGGAGCTGAGATACTCCCAAAGGCCAGTGTGGGGTTCCCTACTCCCGCTGAAGGAAAAGGTGGGCAGGCAGTGAGGTTGAGGTACCTCTGTCTCCCCACCTGCCCTCCCGGAAGGATCTTCCCAGACCTCAGCAGCAATGACATGCTCCTGTTCATCGTGAAGGGCATCAACTTGCCCACGCCTCCAGGTGAGGGGGCACCATGCAGGGGTCAGGGCTGTGGGGACCACCTCTGCCTAGCTGTGACCCTTATTTGCCTACAGGGCTGTCCCCCGGTGATCTGGATGTCTTCGTTCGGTTTGATTTCCCCTATCCCAATGTGGTATGTGGAGAGCGAAACAGAGATGGGCTCAAGCCCCATCAGGATGGGAAGTGGGTTGGGCACGGGTCCCAGGCCAGGCCCAAACCCCTGAGCTTTCCTGCCTCCTGTCTGGACCCAGGAAGAAGCTCAGAAAGACAAGACCAGTGTAATCAAGAATACAGACTCCCCTGGTAATTCATGGGCAACAGGTACTCCGCACCCCCTGCAGAAAGAACACAAGACCATGGCCTGACCCCTCCCTCTTTCCCTGGGCAGAGTTCAAGGAGCAGTTCAAACTTTGCATCAACCGCAGCCACCGAGGCTTCCGAAGGGCAATCCAGACCAAAGGCATCAAATTCGAAGTGGTCCATAAGGGGTGAGCTGGGGGCCAGGCACTGCATGGGCTCTCGGGGAGGGGAAGCTGCCCTGGGCCCACCATCATATGTCCCCTCACATATATAGGGGTCTGTTCAAGACTGACCGTGTCCTGGGCACAGCCCAGCTGAAGCTGGATGCCTTGGAGACAGCATGTGAGGTCCGGGAGATCCTTGAGGTAAGAGGGGGACATCAATTTGAACGTTCCATTATGGCTGTGTCACTCGTTAACATTACTCAAATGCTTACTGTCCTGAGTCTTTCAAGCGTCCTCTCTGCTGACCCAGCCCCTCCCCTGGGAGCCTAAGACCTCCTTACTCCCATTCCTAAATACTTCCAGCACCCTGTTCCATTATGACCAGTTGATGTCTCAGTTATACCCATGGGCTCATACTTAGGAAATCACCTTGGTTCTCCCTGATCCCAGCCCTGGGACTCCAGCTGCTGCCTGCTTCCCAGAAGCCTCTGCTATTCCATCGCAGGTCCTGGATGGTCGCCGGCCCACAGGGGGACGGCTAGAAGTGATGGTCCGGATTCGAGAGCCACTGACGGCCCAGCAATTAGAGACAGTGACTGAGAGGTGGCTGGTCATTGACCCAGTGCCAGCAGCTGTGCCCACAGTAAGACCCCCACCCAGCAGCAACTGCAGGGAGGGAGGCTTGGTTCAAGGGGAACCAAGACTCACAAGACTGGTTTTGTCCTCTGAAGCAGGTTGCTGGGCCTAAAGGGAAGGCCCCTCTCATGCCTGCCCCTACAAGGGAGCCAGGAAACAGGTAGGTGGCTGAGCCAGGCCATGCTGGAAAGAACCCCTCTCTTCCCATTTCAGCCCTTCCTGGACAATATCTCATCAGGCACAAATTGGAGCATGTCCCTTCCCCACTTTAAAACCTTTCCTGGCTTCCTTTCTTCTGGAAGATCCAGTTTAAACTCCTCAGCTTGATCTTTAAGACCTTTTTTGATCTGACCATTATGAATATATCAAGCCTTCTCCCTCTCCACTTCCTCCTGTTGGTTCATGGCTACACCTAGTTTTCACTGTCCTCTGGGCTTCTATGTTACAATGCCCTGAGTACTTCTACCTCTATACTTTTTCCCTGCTCCTCTGCCCAACTCTCCTGTGGTTCCCAAATTGGCTGCTGTCATCTCTTCCAAGAAACCCTCCCTGACTGCCTGTTCCCTGTGTATACAGTACAGTTGCCTGAGTATATATCATTACCACTAGGTTGTGGGCTTAGCAACATTGTAGTGGGCCTAGCTTGTCTCAGGCTGTTCTCCAGTGCCCGACATGTTCAATTAAAGGGGTCAGGGATGGAGGATCTTTGCAGACCCTCATCCCTATCCCCACCCCATAGATCTGCCCGGCCCCTGCATAGCCTTAGTGTGCTGGCCTTCGACCAAGAGCGTCTGGAGCGGAAGGTGGGTGCCCACCTACTGAGCTTGGTGGGGCAGGATTGGGGGGGTTCTGCAGGCTCAAGCAGGGCCCTCATAGCCCCCTCTGTACCCCTCGTCCAGATCCTGGCCCTGAGGCAGGCACGGCGCCCAGTGCCCCCGGAGGTTGCCCAGCAGTACCAGGACATCATGCATCGTAGCCAGTGGCAGAGGGCACAGCTGGACCAGGGGGGCCCAGGCATCAGACGAGGTAGGGGCTCCGGGACAGGCACATGGGGGAGGGGCAGTGGCAGTGGCCTCATTCTGACCCCCTCCCACCCTCAGAATACATGGCCCAGCTGGAGCGTCAGCTGCAGTTCTACACAGAGGCTGCCCGGCGCCTGGGCAATGATGGCAGCAGGGTGAGCTGGGTGGAATTTGGGTGGGCACTGGGGGGACCGAGGCTGCCAGGGGCTTCCCACTGATCACCTATTGGATCCCCAGGAAGCTGCAAAGGAGGCACTCTACAGGCGGAACCTGGTTGAGAATGAGGTGAGCTGCTCAGGTGTTGGGATAGGCGGTAGGCAGCTGTAGCCATGGCCCCCCTGACCCCAGTGGACTCTCCTGCAGCTGCAGCGGCTCCGTAGGTGAGGGGCCAATGGGGCTGGCAGCCCCTGGAGATCGGGGAGCAGGCTCAAGGTCCTGGTGATGGGAGGAGCTGATGTGGCCATGGCCTCAGACCAGATAAGCAGACAATCAGCGGACAATCGGCTCTGGATGGACTCGTCTCCTGCTGGGCCCACCCAGCCTGGTAGAAGCCTCCCTGGCAGGGGGCATGAGGGATGGTGCCCACTAGCCAGCCTGTGAACCTGGCCTGTTCTGGAGGTAGAAGAGTGGCTAAGACCAAGCCCTGAGAGCCCCTGTAAGCACTTTACTTCCTGTCCCTCCCCAGCCTTAACCCTTAAGCCCATCCATACCCCAAAGAAGCCTCTGAGACCAGCCAGAACCTGGCTGACTTCCCAGGGGGTTACCCTGGCCCAGCCAGGACCTAGGGTTGATACATGGAATAAACAGCCAGGGCCACACTCGGCTCTCCACCTTGCCTTTGTTTCTTGCCCTCAGTGGCTGTGTTGGGCTTCTCCCCCCCCCCCCC